TTTATCAACCAGGAAACATACAGCAAAACTCTTCTTGCCAAATTTGGTATGATGGGAGATTCAAAGGTCAAAGTTCCAATGGCATTCGGCACCAAACTCACCTCTTCACTGGAGAAACCGGCAGTTGACATTACGCTATACCGCCATATGATTGGGTCCTTAATGTATCTTACTGCTAGCAGGCCTGATATCATGTTTTCCGTATGTTATTGTGCTAGGTTTCAGGCGAACCCACGAGAACCACATATGCTTGCAATGAAAAACATACTCAGGTATCTAAAGCGAACTACATCTCTCGGTCTATGGTATCCATCCAACTCAGGCTTCTTCGTTCAAGCCTTCTCTGATGCAGACCTTGGAGGATGTGGTTTAGATAGGAAAAGCACCACAGGGGGTTGCCAATTCCTTGCTAGGAAGTTGGTCAGCTGGCAGTCAAAGAAGCAAACCTGCGTTTCCCTTTCTACAGCCGAAGCAGAGTACATCGCAGCTGCCTCCTGCACATCTCAAGTCATATGGATCCAAAGCTAGCTCAGAGATTATGGACTCAACATGAAAAAGATCCCACTATATTGCGATTCAGAAAGTGCAATTAGGATCTGTCATAACCCAGTGCAACACTCTAAGACCAAGCATATAGCACTAAGGTATCACTTCATTAAGGATCATGTGGAGGATGGAAATGTCAAAATTCACTTTGTACGAACCACTGATCAACTGGCCGATATCTTCACCAAAGCCCTACCTGAAGCCAGTTTCAATAAAATCCTTCATGGTCTAGGAATGATGGAATCAGAATCGGTACCAAAGACACCATCCCAAAGTTAAAAGTTAGAAGTGAAATGAACCGAAATGAACTGAACATTCGGTCCATTTCGGGTTCGGTTCACATGGGAACCGAAATGAACCGAACGTTCGGTCTATTTCGGGTTCGGTCCCATTGCACATATTTTCGCTTAATCTCAAAAAGGAGTTGTCTATGGTTGTAAACTTTTGTAAAGCTGTTTTCCAAAAATCCAAAAATATTTTTTTTTAGGAACCGAAATGAACCGAGCGTTCGGTCCATTTCGGGTTCGGTTCAAATTTTTTTATTTCTTATTCTGTTTTGGTTTTTCTCTTTTATAAAGCTGTTTTCCAAAAATCCAAAAATATTTTTTTTAGGAACCGAAATGAACCGAGCGTTCGGTCCATTTCGGGTTCGGTTCAATTTTTTTATTCCTTATTCTGTTTGGTTTTTCTCTTTTCAAAATCTTAAAATCTCCAAAAATATTTTTTTTTCTTTCATTCTTGTTTAAATATCGATGGGACATGTTTGGTTCTCACTCTTTATACTGACTAGTTAAGCGTCCCTAGAAGCATGCTGCTGCATGTTGTCCAAAGCCTCAACTGATTTTGAATAAAAGCCTTAATGACTGGGTATATACAAACCTTGTCTTCCCAATAAGGCTGCTCCATTTATTCTAATCCTGAGCTACCTTACTCTTTTCTCATATGGGTTAAGAGTTTACTGCTTGGTCACTATTTTCAGCAGAGGTACTATCATTTCTCTTCACCACCTCCATACGTAACCCTTGAGACTCTCAGAATTAACCACTGAGGTTTATGGTCACACAATCTCTGTGTTTATGATCTAAGCCACGTTTCACTACGTACTTAGTGAAACCCAAAATACAATACCTAACATGAATTGATGGTCAACATGAAATCTCTTTTTGGTTGTGCGATTCTTATGAAATTGTTATTTACCATAACATTTCTTCCCTTAGAATCCAGTTTAAATTTTTTTTTTTTGAGATTTCACCATCACACATTTTCTACAAGTCACTATATATATTATCCAGCCTACTTGTTCAACAGACCATATCGGTCTCACAAGTACTTCATTTAGTCTCGGTCTTATGTCAAGGTCCGGAATTCTAAACTGAAGCGAAAGCCACCCTATTAAGCCTTACAAAAAGATGCCTTTCAACACTTCTTAGAAAGTGATTGATCGTAATTCAATGGGAATCCATACAAACACTTTAAGGTCTCTCTTGACCTTGAAGAAAGTGATTTGTGCCCAGGATCAACTGTTTTGTGTCTATACTGACATCACAAATTCCCACATATATCTTGCTTTATTTCCTTATCTTTCACACTCTATGCACGAAAATCTTTTATTTTCCAAAATTCTCGTTCGGTTCCATTATAATCTTATGTTTGGATGATAGGTATTCAACAGATAAAATGTTGACTCAGCCGACAGAGTAACGGCCTCAATAGTGAGGTGACGGGCACGCATGAAAAACATAACAATTCTTCTGTCTGATGTGTAATCATCGGGGGTGCCAAGCGTCGCGCTTCTATCAAATTCGAAACCGTTTCGTGTATCAAGAAGATTTGGGGATGATCTTTCTCTCTCCTCTACCCATGGTATAAAAGGAACACATCTGCTTCATTCCAAAATTACCACAATCACAACTCAAACGAGCAAAATCAGGCGATTTCTAATCTACTGTTCATCATCTTCTACCTTCAACAATGGCGGATTCTTCATCAGTTCAGGAAACCTCTTCACGCACAAATATTCTTCCTATCCACGCTCAACAAAGCCTGGTGATTGATCTCAACCCTAAAGCTTACGAGAATTATATGTATCCAATGGTGGAGTGCCTTAAATACTCTCCATTGGTGCTCGCTCTTTCCAAGGTCGAAGTTGTGCCTATGGAATGCCTTTCCCAGGTCTTCTCCATAGCCCATTATGATAGATCAGTGGATCGCATCTACTTTGATCTTCTTTCTCACAAGACCTCCATCTCTAAGCAACGATTCTGCTGGCTCCTAGGTTTTGAAGCCGATGATTCTAGGGTTAATCCCGATTCCATCACCGTCGGGCAATTATTTTCGATGTTCTACAACATGGGTTACACGGAGATTCTCACGACGGTCACCAAGTTCAAGAAGTCGTGTCTCCCTCCTTCATGGAATGGTTTCTTCACCATTATGTTCAAAGGGCTCTCTAAGCGTAGTTCTGGTTCTGATGGGGCCAGCAAATTGTTTATGACCATTCTCTATGGTCTATATCACGGCCTTAACCTCGACTATGGCTCGGTTCTATGGCAGCAACTCATTTAGAGCCTAGCCTCCTTCTCTCGCCACACTGAGGTATCCTACGCCAGGTTTTGGATGCTCATCACCAAGTGGGCCATGGATAAACTTCATGTTCCCACTGTTGCAGGATCGCTTCTCTCTATCATCAGCATCTTCCACACCACCAAAATAATTGTTACCGATCCGACTAAATTTTCTTTCGTCGGATCCATTCCGGACTCTATGTCCGCTGGGGTGTCAAAGGAGAGCATCATAATGAAAGCCTACAAGGACTTTCGTCCTTCGGGCCCAAGGGAACTTTCTGCTGAAATGGTTCAGTCCATTAATGATGCAGATAAACCTGCTGCTAAAGGGAAGAAACCCGAGCAAGGGAAGATAAAGAAAGCAGCAAAGGGGGCAAAGGGTCCTTCTCCTAAGAAGCGAAAACCCTCAAAACCAGATCTTTCCCCACCAGCGAAGAAGAAGAAAGTACAGCCCAAGAGAAAACTTATTCTCTCTTCTTCCTCCAACGATTCGGAAGAGAACCATTCTGACTCAGATGAGTCAGCTAGAGGCGAAACTCCACCTCACTCGCCTGGTCATGAGGTACATGTTTCATCAAAACCTCCTTCCCCTTCTCCTATAACCACCTCTTCCATTCCCATCATAACCTCCTCCATTTCCATTCCCTCCATATCTAACCCTATTTCTATTCCCTCCATAACTACCTCTACTTCTCTTCCAACCACAACAACCACCATTCCCCCACCACTTTTCACAGAAGCCACCACAACTACCACCCGTGAAGTTCCAACCAACATATCTGATACGGGGGTTCCAACTTCACAACCCGAACCTACTTCTGCTCCCGAACCCACTATCACTACCGAACCACCAACCGCACCCTTATCTCCCACTCCATCTGCTGAAACCGAAACCTTTTTAGGAGGTGAGGATACCGTTTTTGACTCCATCTACTACAGCCCCTATCAACTTCAGAGTGATGATGATGATGATGCTCCAGTCACTAAAAATCACATCAAGGAACTCCATGAGAAAATTGACAATCTTGTGGCTTCTTCCTCTTCCTCAACATCTCACTTTTCGGAAGCTGCCATTCAGGGTATGGTGGAGTCACTCTCCAAAGCACATGAAGCCTCTATCAGCTCAGCTGCTGCTTCCATTGACACATCCATGAAGGCTATTGCTGTTGCAACCGAAAAAGTCGAAAACTATTTCAAGACGCCCAGATCTGGCTGGAGTCTTTACAGGCGGCATCAGAGAAAACACTAAGAAGATCCGTACCGTTGTGGAGAAGCTGGTCCATTCCTTCGAAACTGAAAAAGATCAATTTGCCAGCTTTCGCCAAAAACTCAAAGAAGACAACCAATCATTTTAGTCTTCGGTCGCGGATCGTCTTCTTTCCTTCCAAGCCACTCTTGCCGCCGAATCCACCACAAAGGAAGATCTTGCTCGCAAGTCTTCCGAGCTTACTTTGGCAACTCATCAGCTCTCCCAAGCCGAGAAGGAGATCGATTCTCTTCGGTCTGAGAAGGCTGTGGTCAAGAGTTGTGTTTCAGATGTCCACGGAGCTCTGTCTAACATCATTGAAGCCCATGATCCGATTCTCAACTATTCGGTGAGGCGTAGTCTTGCAGAGAAGCTCGCTCCAGCTCTTGCCCTGCTTAGCCGTATTGAAGGCATTACTGAGCAGGAGGACCATCCAAAACAAGGGGGAGAAGAGAAGTCCACAGCTCAACCGAAACCCCCTCCAAGTTCCAAAGCTCAAACTATAACATTTTCATCACTTGTCCCCCCGAAAGCACCCAAACCAACACCTATTCCTTCATCAGGTTTGAGTGCTCAAACCAAAGCCAAACAAATTTCCGATGACAGTGATGAAAGTGACGATCAAGAACCGATTGTCAACTTAGTCAGGAAGCAGACCAGAGAGAGAGAAACTGTTTCCCCCCCCCCCCCCTGTAGCTTCTTTTGAAAAAAAATCCATTATTTCCTTTGGTTTTCTTCACCACATCAACAAACCCATCATTTTGTTCCTTAACTTCTTTAGTGCTGGCAAGAAGCCCTTGCATAAGATCCACAGTAGCTCCTTCTTTTCCTTTCTCTATTTTACTTCTCTCCTCTTCTTCTTTCATCTGAATAGCAGTAACATCAATCAAGATTAGTGGAAATTGGTTTTTATTTTTTATAGTTGATACTTGAGAAAACCTTATATGTTTTTTTTTATTTTGTGAAAATTAATTCCAGGTGAAAACAGAAAATGGTATGTTGTGTTAGAAAATGACAATCATACCCTTGGTCACAGTAGTCTCATATCATTATTTCCATTCTCACCTTCACTCCAATGCCCATTATTAGAAGAAATCAATGAGCTCCTAGCCAGCTGCTGCTGCTGGAAGTCGGTCTGATAATGAGATGAAAGATGATTGTTGCCAACCATCCTTGAAGGATTTGCAGCATAAAGTTTCTCTTGGTCATTCCATACACTGTTATATAGTTCATGGTTCTGCATAAAGTGAAAACTTTTGCTTCTAGGTCATCCAAATGTACAATGTGATTTTTCATAACATCAGGTACAAATGTAGATTTTTCATAACAGCAGTGAAAATCTTAATCAGTTGAATGTATGTTTCATAACATCACGTACAAATTTACAATGTGATTTTTTTATTCAATTACAGGGTAATCTTATTCCGGAAGGCCATAAAGTTCTTATCTTTTCCCAGAGTTGCATAATGCTTGATATTATTCAGGTTTGTTTCAATGCCTAACTAAATTGGCTATGTTTCTTGTTCTTTTTCTTAACCAAAGTTTATCAACTTTGTGAATATTAATTTGACTTGTTTTGATATTTATTTTTGATATTTTGTTCTTAATGTTGGTTCTAACTTCTATTTTTTTCTTTTTTTTAAACAGTTACAAGGGACCTGAATAGGGGTTTTCTGAATTTCTAGTGATGGCTGCAGACACTGAAGATTTTGAAATGATTTCCCATATTCCATTCCTTATTAAATATAAGATATGTTTCTCATATCCCATATTCCATTCCTTACTAAATATAAGGTATGACACCTGAAATTGTACAAGGGAGGGGCCATGATAAGGCCGCTGATTGGTGGAGTGTTGGAATTTTAATGTATGAAATGCTTTTTGGAAAGGTTGGTGTGCTGTCACCCTTAATTACTTTTAATAAATCACTATTAAATTCCCATTACTTTTAGCGTGAGGGTAATAATGTAATTTTGTTCGACATTGTATTTTTTGCAGCCTTCGTTTAGAGGTGGAAACAGACAGAAGATTCAGAAGAAAATAGTGAAGGACAAGATAAAGCTTCCAGTATTTTTGTCAAGTGAAGCACATTCGCTTTTGAAGGGTAATGTTGTAATTTGTAATACTATATGCATGTGTTATAGTTGTTGGTTAATATTATATGCATGGGAATACAACAATTTCTGTTTCTCACCTGATGGAGAGGTATAACCGTTCATGCTATTTTAATACATGATGAAACAGAAACACTACAAGTTTTTCAATTAATTTTTAAATATATATATATATATATATATATATATATATATATATATATATATATATATATATATATATATCAGTGTTGCAAATATCGGCCTAGGCGGCCGATTAATCGGCGCCTAGGCGCTTGGCGGCCCACTACCGTCGACGTTTATAGCTAATCGGAGTATATAATCGGACATGGTCAAAGTCGGTCAAATGCGGGTCTAGGCGGGTATAGGCGGTCAATGAAGTCAACATGATTTAAAAAAATTCCAAGGGCAAAATTGTCAAAATGTAACAAATGATTCTAGGGTACAATTCGTTTTCTCATTCTATGCAGTCAAAAAAACGGCATTCTCTCTGCCCTTGAGAACAAGAACGAACAAGAACGAGATCAAGAACGAGATCAAGAACTAGAAATCGACGCAGGTTCTTTTTCTTTAACTCTCACTGTCTCTGTCTCACACCGTCGACATTAGCTTTGGCCTCCGGTTCATCATCTCCTTCAAGCCACGACGTCGCAGTCCCCTTCCAAACTTGAGTTCCCGATTTTAGCTCTTCCCGTCACGAAATTTCTCGGCTCACGATTCTAGTTCACGAAGTTTATTGGCTCACGATTCCCTTCACGAAGTTTCTCGGCTCATCGACACCAATTGAATCATCCAAGGTTAATTTTTATTTTTTTACTTCTCTGTGACAGCTTCTCATGTTCACAGCAATCAATTTAACAATTCTCAATTTATCAGTTGACCATGGGTTAAGTCTCAATGGTATACATCATAATTCATACATAATTTATGTGAGTTTGATTTATGGAGATTATGAAGAAGAAGGTGAAATTGATTTGAGATTAGGAAAACTGATAAAGAATGATATCACATATCAATTGTATACATTTATATCAATTGTATACATCTGTTAACAACAAGCAATTTATGTTAACAGCAACCAATTTATGTGGTTCCAAAATCTGTGAAGTATATTTTTTTTTTTTGAAATCTGTTAAATAGAAATCTATCAAGTATTTTTTTTTTTTTAATCTGTTAAATATGAATATGTTATGCATTTGTTGAAAACTTGAAATCTGTAAAACATGAATCTGTTAAGTATTTCCTTTAGAACTTTAGCATTAAGGCATTAACATATATATGTTAGATATGAATATTAAGTTGTTTGGTTGATTGATAATCATTCTGTCAGGCATTTATATTATATTTTTTTAGTTGTTAATTTTTTTTAATGTGTTAATGTGATGATTTAACAGGTGACAATCAATGACTTCGAATGTTTCGACTACACCGTCTGTGGGATCAACCCCCACCGATACACATAAACGGAATTCGGATGATATTGGTTGGGAATATGGTTTTATCCCGGATAAAAGCAACTTGGATAGATTGAAATGTAAATTCTGTGGAAAAGTGTTTGGCAGAGGGATTACTAGAATGAAACAACATATTGCTCATGTGAAGGGGAATGTATCTTCATGTCCAAGTTCTACAAAAGATGATCAATTGAAATGTCGAAATTCTATTAATGAAGGGAAGTTAAAAAAGAAAGCTAAACATTCGCAAGATGAAGCCTTAAGATTTGAGGTAAGACAAGAATTTCATGATAGCGTGGATGGAGTTGAATCTTCTTTAGGGTTGAAAGCACCAAATGTTATAGGCCCCATGGATGGCTACGCAAACAAAATAAACCCCGAAGAAGATTTGAACGCAAGAAAGGGAAAAAATGTTGATCTTAACAATATTGTCCGGAAAGAAAGAATACTCACGGTCCATAAATACATTAGTAGGTGGGCATATGAAAGCGCAATTCCTTTTCATGCTTTTGAAAGGGATAGCTTTAAAATGATGTTGGAGGTTGTTGGCCAATTTGGAACCGGGCTTCCACCTCCTACTAGATATGCTTTGAGTGACACACTTCTAAAGCATGAGGTTGAAAGAACAAAAAACTTGTTGAAAAAAAATGAACAAGAATGGAAAGAGGATGGATGCTCTATTATGACGGATGCCTGGTCTGATCGAAAGCGAAGAAGCATTATGAATTTATGTGTTAACTCGAAGATGGGTACTGTTTTTTTATCTTCAAAAGAATGTTCCAACGAAGCACATACAAGCCAAAAAATATATGAATATCTGGAGTCTTGCATTTAACAAGTTGGTTATGAGCATGTTGTTCAAGTTGTGATCGATAATGCCACGAATAACATGGGGGCGGCAAAGTTGTTAAAAGAGAAAAGACCATCTATTTTTTGGACATCATGTGCAACACATACCATTAACCTTATGCTCGAAGGTACTTACATTATTTGTTTTATTTATTGTATTTATTACTTTAGTTTGTTTTAAAATGTTCAATTTTATACTATAATTTGTTATTTAATCGTATTTATTTCTTCAAGGTATTGGTGCACTCCCAAGGTTTAAGAAAATTCTAGATCAAGCAAAGAAGCTAACCATCTTCATTTACGCTCACCACAAAACCTTGGCGATGATGAGAAGTTACACAAAAAAAAAGAGAAATTATCCGACCGGGAGTCACGAGATTTGCTTCCGCCTTTCTAACATTACAAAGTTTGGCGGAAAAAAAGGAGCAACTAAGACATATGTTCTCTAGCACCGAATGGGAGGAATGTAAATTTTCTAGTACACCTAAAGGGATTGCCTCATATAAAACAGTGTCAAGTGTCCAATTTTGGTCTAGTGTGGGACAATGTTTAAAGGTGTTCTCCCCTTTGGTGAAAGTCCTTCGAATGGTTGACGCGGATTGGAAACCCTCAATGGGTTTTGTTTACGGGGAGATTAAAGTTGCTAAAGAAGAAATTATCACATCATTGGGCGGTAACGAGAAAGCTTACAAGCCTATTATAGATATCATAAACAAAAAGATGAAAGGTCGTCTAGAATCAAGTTTACATTTAACGTCTTATCTTTTGAATCCATATTATCATTATAAGGATCCACAACTCCAATATGATCCTGATATAATGAATGCGGTTCTTGATTTTTTTGATACATTACTTTGTGACAATTTTGAGATGCAAAGGCAAGTTGTAACAATTGACTTGCCAAAGTACAAAAAAAAAGTTGATAGATTTGGTCGTGATCTTGCAATTAAAAATTGTAGGGTGAATGATGCCGAGTTTGATCCGGGTAATTCATTTTACTTTTAGTTTTCTGTTTTAGTATTTTATAAAATTTTGATATTTATCAATTCATAATGTGCTCTTTTTTTTTAATTGTAGCTAGTTGGTGGGGACTATTTGGTGGCACAACTCCTCATTTGACAAAGATTGCAATGAGGATTCTTTCTTTGACTAGTAGTTCATCGGGTTGTGAAAGGAATTGGAGCACGTTTGAAGGGGTTAGTATGTTATTAAAGTTTATATTTTATAAAATTTAATAATTTATATATTAAGCACATTTCGACTCTTTGTGTTCACATTTGTAGGTACATACAAAAAAACGAAATAGATTGGAGGCAAGCAAATTGAACAATCTTGTCTATGTTCAATTCAATGCTAATTTAATGGAAAAAAACCAAAAGCGAAAAGATAGAAATATGGAGGTGTTGTTAGCAAATGATTCAATCTCGGCTCAAGAATGGATTGTTGATGTAGATGAAGTAGACCCCAAAACGGTTAATGAAGATCTAGGAACCGATGATAATCAAGCACCCCGAGAAAGTCCAAGAACGAGGGAACTTTCCGATGAAGATTTTGAGTCCGAGTGTGAGGAGCAAGTGTTCGAAGAAGACGAATATGAGTCGGATGGGGTTCAAATAATGGAAGTGTGTGGAGAGGATTAGAAGATAATATGTTTTATTTTTGTGCTCTTTAAACTTATTATGAACTTGTTGGATGATGATTTGGTGTGTTTGTTGAACTTATGTGTTAACTTTTTATGTTTGTTTTGGTCTTTTGGATGATAATTTATTGTGTTTATTAAACTTTTATGCTTATTTACTTATATTATTATGATTAAATTTAGATTTATTAATTTTTAAATTATTTTCTTACTAATGAATGGTCTCCGATTAATCCCCGCCTAGCCGATTAATCCCTTGACCCTAGTCCACCGTCGAGCTACCGTCAAGCGATTTTTGCAACCTTGATATATATATATATATATATATATATATATATATATATATATATATATATATATATATATATATATATATATATATATATATATATATATATATATATATATATATATATATATATGGTAGGGGTTGATAGCTTTCTCTTAGCTTGGTTGAATGATAAGATGGTGGTCATTAGGATCCATGTGATCAGAATTTCCCTAGTGCTCCAACATTTTTGTCAGGTAAACCCATCTGGCCAGACCTCTGCATTGCCTCCTACAAGGTCTGTTACTTGTTATTATGATTTATGATTCTGAGGGTATTTCGGTTATTTACTCAGAATTTTGTGTTTTCAACTTTACAAGTAGATCACACTTGCTTGGCTAAACGTTATTCTGTATGCTTTCAAACTTGTCTTCTTCCTGAATTCTTTTTCTTTGTAAGTTTAGCCTTATTCTTTTCTTCAATTAAGTGTTGTCTGGAGAGTGTTGTATGAACAACAATAACTCAACATTTTTTTCCTTCTTTTTCTTGTATGAATAATACATAGTCATAGTTTGACTTAATTAGTTGCTTATTTTGCTTATTAGTTGCTTGTTTTCTAGCTTATTATAGTCACTGATAGGTTTCTTGTTATGCTTAAATCTTAACAGCTATCATGGCAACCTTCAACAGTAGTTTTGGACCAGCACCTTCTTGCAAAAGATATCGTGTACGCGCTCTTCTGCTGCTATTGTGGATTCGGGAACATCCTTGCTTACTGGTCCAACTGTATGTATCTCACGTGAAGCTTCTGTTAGAATTATTAATCCTAGAGATTTCAAGTTTTTCATATTTCTTGTATCTAATTAGTTTGTAAATTTCCGTTACAACTTTTATTGATTTGTTTTATCTTTCCATGGAACGATTATTTGTATGACATTATATTTTGTCCAATGGATTGTATTTTTGTATATGATATTTTATTTATTAAGAGACATTAAATGAAAATTTAATTTGAAAATTAATAAATCTATAAATAATATTTTTTTTTAAACATATAAAATTATGATACGCAAAAATGTGTGTCATCTTCATTTATGACATGGCCTTTCTTGACAGGGGCTTTCTTGATACGCATTGCGTGTCATTAACACGCGCATTGTAAGGTTACGACACGCGAATGCGTGTCGTCTTCCTTTATGACAGGGACTTCCTTGATACGCATTGCGTGTCGTAAACGCGCGTCGTAATTGCGCATCGTAAATGAGCGTCGTAAATGCGCGTCGTCTCTCTTTATGACAGAGCCTTCCTTGACGCACATTTACGCGTCGTTTGAGCGTTTTACACCGCGCAATGAGCGTCGTAAAAGGCTGCTTTTCTAGTAGTGCATTGACCTAGTGTTGGGTGCCGCCCCGATAGCAAAAGTGCCATATCGGTTGGCAGCTCTGGAGATGTAGGATTTATCTGCACAGCTTCAGGAGCTGCTGGACTTGGGATTCATTCGTCTAAGCAGTTCCTTGTGGGGTGCACTGATCCTCTTCGTGAAAAAGAAGGATGGATCACACAAAATGTGCATCAATTATAGGGAGTTGAACAAATTAACGGTGAAGAACCGTTATCCGTTGCCGAGCATCGACGATTTGTTTGATCAGCTTTAGGGTGCATCTTGGTTTTCCAAGATTCACCTTCGATCTGGATACCATCAGATGACGATTCGGGATGAGGGTATACCGAAGATGGCTATCATGACTCAATATGGGCACTATGAGTTCGTGGTGATACTGTTTGGGCTCACCAATTCCCCAAAAATTTTCATGGATCTCATGAATCGGGTATGTAGGCTGATGTTGGATCAGTTAGTGATTGTTTTTATTGATGATATTCTAGTCTACTCTAAGACCAGGGAGCAGCATGAGCAACATTTGAGGGAGGTATTGGAGACCCTGAGGGTGGAGAGAATTTATGCGGAGTTCTCAGTATGTGATTTCTGGCTGCGGGAAGTACAATTTTTGGGGCATGTCAATAATCAAGATGGAATTTCGGTTGACCCAGCCAAGGTGGAGGCGGTGATGCGATGGGAGGTACCGGGGAATGCTTCACATATTTGTAGTTTCTTGGGTTTAGTGGGCTACTATCAGAGATTTATCTAGTATTTCTCCAAGATCGTTGTGTTATTGACCTGGTTGACAAAGAAGAATGTGACCTTCAGGTGTGGTGAGGAGCAGCAGATGGCGTTTGAGACCCTGAGACGGAGGCTATGCGAGGCTCTGATTCTAGTACTACCTGAGGGGTTGGATGATTTAGTGGTGTATTGTAATGGATCGATTTCAGGGTTGGGTTCGGTATTGATGCAGAGGGGGCATGTGATTGCTTACGCCTCAAGGCAGTTGAAGCCTCACGAGGCAAATTACCCCACGTGTGACTTGGAACTGGGGACGGTGGTGTTCACCCTCAAGATCTAGAGGGACTATTGGTATGGTGTGCGGTTCACAATATATACAGATCACAAGAGTCTAAAGCATTTGATGGACAAGCAGAACCTCAATATGCAGCAGAGGAGATGGTTGGATGTTCTGAAGGATTATGATTGTGAGATTGTATACCATCCAGGAAAGGCCAACGTGGTAGCTGATGTATTGAGCTGCAAGATAGAGGGGTCCCCGATTAGGGACATTTGTATGAGGACGAGTGTGATTTCTCCTTTGTTAGATATGATCAAGGGGGCTCAGGTTAAGGGGGTTAAGAAGAAGAACAGGAAAACCGAGAAAATTCGGTGACATCATCCTTTGTTTGTCAAGGATAGTCGCGGCCTTTTAACTCAGTGTGGCCGAGTGTGGGTGCCAATTATGGGGGGAGTGAGGCAGAGGCTACTAGAGGAGGCGCACAAGTCCAAGTTATCTATACACCCAGGAGCTACGAAAATGTACAGGGACTTGAGGTTGAGTTATTGGTGGCCCTGCATGAAGCGGGAAATCGCTTGGTTCGTGGAGCAGTGCTTGACCTGCAGGAAGGTCAAGGCTGAGCATTAGCGGCCTCATGGAAAGGTTCGGCCACTACCCATTCCCATGTGGATGTGGGAAGATCACCATGGATTTCATCACAAAGTTACCTAGGATGGCAAGGGGAGTGGACGCTATATGGGTGATCGTGGATAGACTGACAAGGAGTTCCCACTATATTCCGATTTCCGAGAGTATATCTGCAGAGAAGTTGGCAGACATTTATGTATGTGAGGTGGTGGGTAGACATGGGGTGCTTGTATCTGAAGTCTCCAACTGGGATGTCCAGTTCACTTCCACGTTTTGGAAGAAGATTCATGAGGAACTGGGAATTTAGCTACATTTTAATACGTCATATCACCCTCAAACTGACAGTTAGAGTGAGAAGAAGATCCAGACGCTGGAGGACATGCTTCGAGCATGCGTACTGGATTTTGGAGGGAGTTGGGATACATACCTTCCACTAGCATAATTTTCGTGCAATAACAGTTATCATGATAGTATTGACCAGGATCCATTTCAGATGTTATATGGACGAAGGTGCAGGCCCCCGATGTGTTGGGACGAGTTTGGGCATTGGGTCATGGGGAGCACCAAGGTAGTGCTCAAGACTACCGAATTGATTCAGCAGGTGAGCGGCCGGTTGCGAGTCGCGCAGAGCCACCATAAGAGTTATGCTGATCGGCGATGATCAGACCTCGAGTTCCAGGTATGGGATTTTGCACTGCTGAAGGTGTCGCCCTGGAAAGGGATTATCAGATTTCGAAAGAGAGGCACGTTGGGGCCTCGGTTTATAGGCCCTTTCAAGATCTCGGCCCAAGTGGGAAAGGTGGCATATCGTTTAGAGCTGCCAGAGGAGATTTGTCAGATTCACAATACCTTCCATGTGTCTCAACTTCGGAAGTATGTTACGGACGAGTCCGCTTTCGTTTCCTTAGATGATATTCGGGTGGATGGGAGCCTAAATTATATGGAGAGGACGGTCACTATATTAGACTGGAAGACGAAGGGTCTTTGGAACAAGGAGGTGAAATTGGTAAAGGTGAAATGGCAGCACCAAAAGGGGTCGGCATGGATCTAGGAACCAGAGGACGAAATGCGAGAGCATTACCTCGATTTGTTTGCAGCTACGGACTTCGGGGACGAAGTCTAGTCCAAGTGGGGGAGCATTGTAACACCCAACTCAGGTATGACTTTATAGCCCATGAAGTATCTTGATTTTGGCATAAGAGACCCTTAAGTACGTTGGGCGTACTTATGAGTACGCTTAGCGTACTTGGTGAGAAGGAACACGGAGGAGCAACACGTACACTGGGCATACCAGGAGTACGCTGGGCATACATGCCAGCATGTTTAAACCCTAAAAACCAGACTTGAGACCTATATAAACATCCTTAACTCCTTTAAACTTCACCCTTATCTGCCTCCTTCACCTTCAAACGCCCTGAAAAACCCTAATATCATTTGTGAGTGTAGCTTGAACTTTAAGAGTGCGTTTGTGGTTCTCTTAGTGGTCATCCAAGAAGAAGAAGTTGCCAAGAGATTTGGAGTGTCACTTGGCTTCAAGAATCTACTTATTGTCTACCTTGAGGAGCTCCTGGAGGTATAAAGCTTGTACCTTTCCATTTCAATCAACGGATCTAACTAGGGTTTTTAGTCTTATCCCTTTAGTTGGTTTTGACCCCTTTTTATTGTGAGTAAGTAACTCCAGAGGATGGAGATGACAGATCCGAGGTC